AGCTGGAGCAAGCCCATCTAGCCATCATGGTAAAACCTGTCAACTCGAGAAGGGGCCGCCTAGATAGGTCGACACTTCAATGAGAAGTAGCGGAAGTGCAAAATGACCCCCTCGTCGTCAAACTGCACCAGGATGTCCACGAGTGGACTGCGTCTCCATGAATGATCGTCGGAAATAATAAGGGTTGACATTTCTACGTTGTCCGGTAATTGACCCCGATGTAGTCCACTTCAATATCATAACGGGGCTCAACACAGTTCTCATCAATGCGGCAGCTCATCAATCAGCATCTGTTTACTTACTTAAGTCGATTGGCGCAGCCTCACTTAAGCACTATCGGAAGCATATGGTATCGATGAATGGATACCCTACTTTATACGATTATCAATCGATTGTCATGAAATGTACATGGGAGAAACAAAAAAAACCACTGTAGAATTTCTGCTCATCTCTGCACTCCCGTACTGATATAACCTCACTTCGGATAGGCTAATGAGTCATGATGTTCCTCAGCTCCATCCTACGACTGTAGTCCTTTTAATTAGGAGTTGTACTTTTCGAATCGATTCATTGTAAAGGGAGAATATGAATGGCCAATGCAGTAATCAGATCAGTAATGGAATTAAATGGATAGACTGTTTATGTACTAGTTATCATTACTACTTACTTAACAGATGAGTTACTCGACAGAAAGCTAATGAGTAGTTCAATTTTGAAGAATATCTGTGATAAAATGTGAATATAAATCACCTGACGTTCACTGAGACTCAGGGATTTGGCCAGCTTCTTCCGTTCTTGCGGGCTGAGATATTTGTGATTGTCAAATTTATTTTCGAGTGCATCAGTTTGTTCATTGGTAAACCTAAACTGTGGTAGTAAAAAAGAACTCGAAGCATTGAAAATTGAAAAAAAATAGTTAAAGGTGAATATGTACTTGTTTTCTTACCGAATTTGTCCTCCTTTACGTTTCTGCTGTGTTTTTTGCATATAGGGATAAAGCCATGATATACACGGATCCCAAACACCTTGAAGATTTCTGTGCACTGGAATGGGAATTTTTGAGTAGGCGATAAAAAAGTTTTCTAATTTCTTGACTCTCTTAATTCAAGAAGGTACTATCACTCCTAATCACCCTCACAAAGCATACACTCACACTTCATTCCTCGGAAATGGCTAGGGCATGGCTGCGTACGTCATTTGAGCGGCGGTTGCGCTTTTTCTGGGATGTTTTCGTTTTGGCACAATCCCAGTCATGTCTTCATACAGCACGCGGTAGGACGAAGGCTGTCCCAAATGGAAGCATTCTACGAGTAGTCTCCTTATTTCGCGTTTAACTGGGGTACGCATCCACTCCTTTCCCATATCCGGGATATGGAGTGTACGTGTCGGAAGGTAGGGGATTCTTCCAGAAATTCAACATTTCTTCAAAATTACTTATAGATTTCTTTCCAAAGAGATCACTTATTAGCCATATATTCACCAAAGAGACCAGCTACCACGGCACTGGTAGGTTGGATCCCGGCCCATCAGAGTTGCTACAGTATCTGCATACTTTACCCTCGTTTTGACATCTCAAATTTTTCATCGCGCTTTTTATTGCCAACCTGTCATCTTCAATGTTTCACTTATTCGTGAATGACAGAAATCGGTTTGGAACAATTTCTATAGTCACTGCGGATGCTAGGCGTGTCAGGGAAGCGGCTGAAATGGACGGCACCAACCCATTTCCTACCAGTTATTGTCTTTTCTGGGTTAGTGATTAGATCCGTTAATCGGCATACTGGAACATTCCCAGGATTTTCTGTACTCTGAGCGTTGTGAACGTCACGATCTCCTAAACCCTGAGCTTAATCTTTAATGCCAATTGCTTCATAAAATGCAAGGAGTTTGCGTGAGTCTTCCTAAGGTTACTTGGGTATCAGAAAAAGCTTCTTTGAGCTAATTATTGCCCACTTACAAGAGCTTACAAGTAACGTGATAAGCTGTGCGTGGTTGTGATCCACTTTGTCAATAAGCTTCTCGGAAGAATAGTGCACATATAGAATCCAAGCGGACGCATCGAGGGGAACTACTGGCCTAGAATGCACAATTCTCAGGCAAATTTTACAAGCAGTTAATTGACTTTATCGAGTCATTATGAGCGTAGCGGAACTGGGGATTCGTCTAATTATAATCTACTTTATCTTACTACATCCCCCAATCTAATTCATTGAACGACAAGCTGTTTACAGCCTTCCTCTTCTTATTTTTTCCCATTCGTCTTCTCCCGCATTTATCAGCTTGTATCCATCGAGGATCTCCCATTTGGGAAGCGCTTATGTACGTAGAGAGTTTCCCACCAGCATGGTAATTCACTCGGGCAGAAAAGTGGTCAGCACCTGCATTGCTAGCCCTAGATTTAATCCTGCCTACGCTACGTGTGGCTTTTCTCCGGAGCAATTTCTGGGAGAAACTTTCTTTTGCAGGATACGACCCCTTTCGGAACTTTCCTACGGCCTTGCTAGACTTTTCCACTTACTGCCGCTTTTCCACGGGAAATTCGTTTGTTTTCTTCCTGAAATGGCCGTCGATCCCGACGCATCGCCCCAAGAAACCACGTTACTGCTCAATTCGCCAAAAGTAGGTAGTAGTTCATTGGACCTCGACTGCGCCGTCAACTAAGGTGGACGTTCTATACCTAATGTGAAGCCAGATGAATCAACTGTGAAAAGAAATTTCTCAGACGAACCCCCCTCGCCCCCTCCTACCTCCACGACCCGTCTGGAGATGTCCCCACGTGCGACTGCTCTGCTTCTAACACTTCTGTGTTCTTGTGACCGTGCTCACCACCAGAATTTAAGTCTTTTAATTTCCCCTCCCATGCAGAGCTGCCCAAATAGACAGAAGGCTGTTTGCAGCCTTAAATCCTGATTTTTCTGTACGAGACTTTGCACATGGCCTCTAACAGCTATGTCAAACATTATTTATCTACGCAAAAAATAAAACTGCTTTTTATGCATAAATCCTTTATATGTCTTCTTTATTGTCTATGAGGGAGACACCCCAGGTCTGACTGAGCGCAGGTGAATGGATAGAAGTATAAGAAGAGGGCATTTATTAGGTTCCACGTTTCTTAATGTAAGACAGGTGCACGGCGCATACATTGGGACTTTCCCTGGTGGAGCTCCCATCGCCCCGAAAGGGGTTCCCAGAAGTGAGAACGTCATTCGCCATCAAGTCAATGCAACTGGAAAACGGGCCAAAATGTTCGGAGTGCAGGCGTACGATAGCGCTTTCAGCGTTGAGTGGAGATGCATCGAAGTACGGTGGTTGTCAATGAGAGCGGTTGTGGCGATAGCGGCGACGGCCACCAACACGGCGGCTTAGCGGCTCCCTTTCTAATGATTGTTTGAGGGGACTGGAGTGTGCGTGTATTGACAACGAGATATACCGCAAGACGCCTCTGATCACATTACAAAACCGACACTCGACAACTTCTTCACTTAAAAAACCCCCCGATTTAGCGGCTAATTTGCCTTGGACGACGTCGTTCAACAAGGTAAACAAAATGAATGCGGTAAGTTATAGCTTCCTGCCGTACAACATTCTTCAGTATGTCCCTGTAAAGCACGCTTTATCTTCAGTAGAGGGGACATTTTCCTAGTAAGCACTTTTTATACCACATCCCTTGCCCAGTGAAGAGTTCACAGGTCTCCAGGCACTGGTAGCGATCGATGAAAAACCACATCAAGCAGAACCGCCCCTAGTAATGCAGCAAATTTTAGGTCCAGGGAAACAGGCGGTATACAGTGCTCCAAAAATTGCGCGTGAACTGAAATCTGTCGCTATCAGTAGTGTTGTGTGCACTCGCTGCTTCCGCGCAGTCAGTTTTACGCGCAGATCAG